TATAGTCCAGAATAAAGAGGTGTGATGGCGTTTAGCGTTTTGACATTTTTCAAAAAAAAATTATTATTATTTATTTGACTGCAAATGGGTTTTTACCCGGTGGCAGTGGTCCTACAATAAGACACAAAACAATAAGACACAACAGAACAATGAGACAGAACAAAACAATAAGACACAAAAAACATGAGACAACAAAAACAATAAGAAACAAGAGAACAATGAGACACAACAAAACAGTAAGACAAAAAGACATAAGACACAACAAAAACAATAAGACACAACAAAACAATGAGACACAACAAAACAGTAAGACAAGAAGACTTAAGACACAACAAAAACAATAAGACACAACAAAACAATGACATGAATCGAGGATGTGCTACTCTCCGCATTAGGATTGATTTCACATTTTAAAATGTCATATCTGGAACTGAGAATTATCTTTCGTTACAGACATTCATTGGTATTTTCTTCTGATATGAATTTTCGTCAAGTTCATATTTTATGTGAGCTAGAATCATAGTAGAGTATTGTCTCTCAGGACTGGCTTCACTTAGCTTTTCGTAGTTGGTCTCAGTCCCACGAGGCAAATACCGGGGTAGTACCATAAATTAGGCCATGCCCGCTTTTCCTATAGTTCCAGTGCATTATTAACTAATTATCTTATCAATTGCGCTTTGTAGTGTGAGCTACTACATAGCTTTTAAATAAAGCATAAAAAGTAAGTGTTACCTGCAGATCAATGTGTGGGAGATGTTACTGAAAAATGTGTCGTGATACAGGTACGAAATCGGTTAAAATACCTCCCCTATTTTTCTTGAGTCACAGCGTCCTTGCTCTTGCATACACTGCATCATTTTTTTAATAATATACTTTTTATGATTAAGCCTTTGAAGCCGAAGCTTAAACATTTAGCCCTTAACCTAAAAGAAAGCACAGCCCATGATCATTACAAGGATGAATTTGTCAGTTCTGTTGAAGGAAGTAATTGCTGTTTACACTGATAATTATATGAAGCCGATAATTACACCTCATGGGGGAAGAAGTGTCTTCTTAAAACAGGTGTGCACATGGTTACTACTATGCTTGAAATAGTTAATTGTATTTCATTCCGATATCTGACTTCTGTGAAGAGAGGAGTTACACAGTCTTTGTAGGTCTATTGAAAATTCAGTCACGGACAGTCGATTAGTGCTGGGCTTTCTTCAGCTTGTTGATTGGGGTCGAATTCACAGTATTTTACAAAAAGAAATATTTTGTTAGAAAACTAAAATTAAAGTAGTAGTGATGTGAATAATAATGCTTGGAAATGTGATGTCTTCTAACAAGTAGTAAAATACCAAATTGCAGTAGACCTTATATAACGCCTGTTTTGTGTTTTAGTTCTTATGGTAGATTTATATGTGTTACAGGTTGCTGCCGACCCAGTTTGGTAGTGCCTGAGCCGTCCACTGTGTCGTGCCTGTTGCAGGCATCTTCCGCCCTACGAGTTTTATTTATTTTTTTAAAATTAAATTTTACTACGTTGTTTCGAAAATAAGTTTGTTGAAATTATTACTGTTAGATTTTATACAATTTATTGGCTTTAGTGAAAGAAATGTTAAATGTATATGGCATACAGCACTTTAAGTAAAATTAATTTATGTATATCTTTGGGCGCGAAGATTGACGGCGTTAACCTTCCTACTGGGTACTCCTACGAGTCTCAGGGTACGTGTTTGGCGAGTATTTCCATCGCCATAGAACAGTGATTAGTGTTACCATTTATCCAGTTTTAACCGTAGTAGCGTCGCGTGTGCTTATGAACATAACTCAAGTGACCTTTGCACGCGATCCTTTATTTAGCGAGGTAAAGAAACACTTCCAACGGTGATTGGTATTCAGAAACAACGTTGTGTTCCCCAGTGCAATGTCTGGAGAACTGTAATGGCCAGAATGATGACGGGAGTTGTGTTGTGCTTCTATCCAGGACTCTTTATGATGAACTGTTTCGATACTCGTTAAGGTTTTTCATTTAACACGATGGGCGAAGATCAACAGCAGTTCCGCGGCAGCCCAGCTCGCCGCCTTTCTCAACTTTTCGACCCGCTGTCCCGAATGTCAGAGTTCACGTGCTCTACACCGCCTCCGTCCGCCCCTGCAAGCCCCCGACTTCTTCCTCGGCGGTCTCGCCTTCATCTTCAAGCTGGCAATTCCTCCCCACCGCCGCCACCGCCTCCCCGTCCTCATGCCGCCTCCACTTCTGTGGGAACACCGCTCTGTTCTTCCGCGTCGCCTTCATACCTGATTGATCTGATGGACGTTGACCCTTCGCCGGCGCTGCCGCCTCAGTATGATCACTGGGGCGAAGACCTCGCAACAGCTTCTGGAGGTATCAACTGGCAAGAGAGGTGTTTGGAGCTGCAGCTGGAGTTACATCGGTTCAGACACCAAGCAGGACGTGTCAGGGACATGCTGAGGGAGAAGGTAGGAACATGCTTATACTTTATAACGTAGCACAGATGGGCCTTTATGGTTTCTTTAGGGTACTCCTTTTCCTAATGTTAATATATGTTTTGTTTAAACTTAGAATTCATGATTAACACCGAGAGGATATACCTTTAAGACCGCGCAGTAGGTGAGAGGATCTTTCCAAATTCTGAAGAAAACTCATATTGTCTGTAATTAACGTATATTCGCTGGGCTTATAATACTGGAGTCCCGGTTTCGATTCCCGGCTGTGCTCAGATTTACAACTTGTGTTGGGCAAGGCCGTGGTCCAGGCATCACGGAGTTTTCCTCCGGGGTTTCTCCGTGGCATCCCAACAATTACTCCACTTTCATCATCATCATCTCGCGAAAAGGCGGTCACAGCAGGAGCGTTAAATGTCGCGGTCCCGGTCGAACCCACGTACTGATGGGTCGTGAATCCTGCTAACCACCAATGCACACCATGCTGAATGGTGTGTACTGGATACGAATAAAAGTATATTAGATTGGTAAAGTGTTCTCGCTTCATCTAGAGCCCACGATGACACGATGGCTGCGAAAGGAAGCCGCTCTGAAGACAGGGAATAGGTGGTAGTGTCTTTATAGACGGCCAGAAAGAAAATGTTGTTTAACGTGGATTGGATTCTTCATATGGTCTCATACTTGACGCGACGAAACTTGGGAATGTCTTCGTGCCAGATAACGTGAGAACATCCTTATTATATTCGACGAAGATGTTTTAAACATTTTAATGTTTAACGAGAAAGTTTAGCATATTTGTTATGTTATACATCCATCTGCCTGATTAACCCTTTAAAGCCGATGCTCATGTAAATAAGTTTTAGGAATTTACCTCGTACCTCATACAAAGCACAAAGCGTCTCCATTACAAAGGTCAAAAAGTTAATGACATTTAGGGAAGTATTTGCTATTTATTTTAAAAACCATACGAGGCCCATAAACGCACTCAGTTTGTGCAGAGTGTCTTGTCATTGATTGGCAAATCATATGGTATATAGTTACCACTACCACTGGGTTTTAAATGATTAACTTGACAACCTTATGGAGTGAAGTATCGTCGTAATTAGCGGACCTCCGGAACAGGCACCTCTTTTTTAAACGACCCTGACACTGAATTTTACTCCTCTGTTCTACAGTTTTTATTTTAAACATTTTCTGTATGGTGAATACGTAACGTAAAATAACTAAATATGATTTACGACCCTTTAAGTAGTACAAATTAGTTGTGTAACGATGCATTTGTACACTCCTCAAAACAATTAAGGGGTCAAGTTTTCAAATGGTTGGAAAGTTTCTTGGACTAAATCTGAAATCAGCTCACTCTGCAGGGTCGTAAACAATGCTGATACGAGTGCAATTGTGAAAGGTGGGATTAGATACAGTTGGTTATTTCAGGGAGAGAAGCCTACGAAAGCAAAGGTAGTGAAAACAGGAATGAAGGAGAGCAGTGCCTTTGTTTGTTATTGACGATACAGGAATACTGTCGTTATGCAGCGCAATATGCAAGTTCGGCAAGGTGTAAGGAGGCATTTGACAGCTATAGAAGCAACACAGGCTGTCACGCTTCTGCAAGAGGGCCGAACACAACGGCATGTTGCCGGACAGCTCGGTGTGGTTCAATCCGTGATATGGCAACTAAGCCGCCGATACCAAGACACTGGAAGGGGCATTCGACGTCGAGGACAGGGGCGTCACAGGGCAACAACTGCTAGGGATGATCGTTTTCTGCGTCTACAAGCCTTGAGGCACCGCAGAGATACTGCACGGGCCTTGCAAAATGACCTTTCCTGAGCTACAGTTCGACAAGTGTCTGACCAAACAGTGAGAAACCGTCTTTCGGAGGTGGATCTGAGGTCCAGGCGTCCCGCTAGAGTGCCCCGATTGACGAGGGAGCATAAACGAGCGCGAAAAGTTCGCCCAAGAATATCAACATTGGCAACTGCGTCATTGGCGCAATGTCCTTTTCACCGACGAGTCTAAATTTATGCTGCAGGACAACAATTGACGCGTCCGAGTTTGGCGACGGCCAGGAGAGCGTTTTCTACCAGTCACAGTCCAGGAAAATGTCAGTTTTGGTGGTGGCTCCATAATGGTGTGGGCCACTATTTCGATTGACGACAAAGCCGACCTCGTCGTCATCAGAAACGGCTCTATGACTGCGCGGCGTTACATTCACGAGGTGCTGGAACCTCGTGCGTCCTCGTGCATTGGCATTTGGAGAAAACTTTCTCCTAATGCATGACAGCGCCCGCCCTCACGTTGCAGGAATCGTCGGGGAGTAACTCCAAGAGCACAACATCGCCATTTTACCACGGCCAGCTCGCAGCCCAGACATGAACCCTATTGAGCATGTGTGGGACGAAGCGTCAGAGACCGTCAGAACGCACCTACCACACTGCGGGACCTGGAAGATGCATTTTTGGAGTAATGGGCGCAAATTCCCCAAATCGACATCCGGAGGCTTGCCTCAACGCTGTACAGATGTCCTTCGAGTTGAAGGGGGTCCAACCGCCTACTAAGCGCAAAAAAAGCTTGAAATTGTGTCACAAAAACTTGATGCAAATAAAACTTTCATTCTTTTTTTTTTTTTTTTTGTTATTAGTTCAAAACTGTTCAGTGTAACAATACCTCACTTGTGTTTGCTGTTACAAAGAGGCCTGTTTTTGTTTAAATAAAGGTCTATTTTCTAAACTACCCACATTTTTATAAATTTGACAAAGCCCAAGGAAATTTACGACCATTTGAAAACCTGACCCCTTAATTGTTTTTATGGGTGTATTTGCAACATAACTACTGACATTTTGTATAGTGTTTTTCTCTTAAACAAAATATATGATTATGTCACCTGGAAGTTGATTTATCGATAATATAAGAACTAAATTATTGCCTTTACTCCGAGACTAGCCTTGTGACTGACCAGAGATGAAGCCTTCGGCTTAGGTCGGAGGGAATGATTGTGTGCTGCTTGGTCAGGGGAGGGGTGATAGATGAGTGTGGAGCCGTGCTGGAAAAATGATTAGAAGGAGAAAACTGAAGAAATCAGAAAATAACCTCCAGCACCACTTTTTCCACCACGACTCTCTTGAAGTCACACGGGATTGAACACAAGTCTCCGTAGTGACAAACTAGCGTCTTACTGCCTGAGCAACCTTAAATACAAGAGGAAAATCAATGTTGCAACAGCACATTGTTATATAATATTCAAGATTTAAATACTGCATCGTATGAATGGTGGTAAGATACGTAACTTAAGCCAAAATGTGAATAAGCAACTTAGTCAAAGCAAAGGTGTTCAGTATGTGACAACATATCATATATAAGGTTTAAATAAATGGCATTACACTTGTAATTATATTAATAAGACGCAAATTTCAGTTGTCCCGCGATAATATATATTAGCAATAAACGTTAAGGGCTATGCGGGCGGTAGCATAGCTACTGGTAGGGCCTCCCTAGCCAGATTGGTCAAGGGGGAGAGGTCAGACTAAGACAGTTATACCCTGGTCCTCCAGGTTGGGGGTTGGTCGCAAGGCTAACAACCTTGCACTGTAAAAAGGAAGATGTTTCGAAACCTCAATCAAAGCCTCGGACAAACGGACCTAACAGAGGACCGAATGGAAGAGGAGAATTGAGGAGGCCAAGGACCGAATACGGACCGGAGAGCCATAGAAGAAGAAGAAGAAGAAGAAAAAGAAGAAGAAGAAGAATAAACGTTAAGGCGAATCAGTTACAGTATGCAATCGCAAACAACGCATTTAGAAAGTACATTGACGCAACTATCAGCTTTCATAGGTAATATTAATTACCCGTAGGTTATTCCCAGGTTCTGAGTAATTAGTAAATCGATAGTCGATGTGAAACAGTTCCTCCCAGGAACGATATAGATGTTCGTGACAACAGGGGATGTTGTTTAATCAAGGGCTGCATCCCTATGCGTCCTCACACGTAATTTCCCTTCAGCCGTGTGGTAAAGTGTAGCAACTTGGAGTAATCAGGTGGCAAATGTTCAAGGGCGTGGAGAAAGACGAGGGATGTTGCAATGTCTCCGGTCGTCTCTTTGCTGTCAACACTACAAGCAGAATGTCACACCTCGCATTTGTTACGGGTTCACGAATTGAGCACATAACTTAATCTCATGATAGTGATTATAATATTGATAGGGTGAATATTTCCGTGCAGTTAGAGTGATTAAATCAGGGAGTATGAAATAGGCTGGACATAGACTATACAACGTATGTAAGTGCCAACAGTGTTTATACATTAGCTAAGTGCTTTTTCTTGACTACGATATGTTATAATTTTTTCATGTACACATATTTATTATGAGCCGGGATAGCTCAGTCAGTATAGCGACTAGCTACTGGCTGGACGGCCGGGGTTCGATCCCTGACGGGGGCAGAGGATTTTTCCTCTAGCCTCTGCGTCCAGACCGGCTCTGGGGCCCACCTAGCCTCCTCTACAATGGGTACCGGGGTCCTTTCCCCGGGGGTAAAGCCGACCGGGGCGTGATGCTGACCACTCACCCCAAACGCCTACATGGCGTATAGTGGGACAAACTTTATTTTACACATATTTATTTGTGATTTATATTGGATGTAAGTCGTTATAGGAGTAGGTAGTGTTGGGCTAGATCATATTCGTCACATTTTGATGCCGACGTCAGTGCAATGGAATGCAGGCTAGTGGAAATTGAAATTTCTATGTCATTTCTAAGTTTCCTTCACAAGGCGTTTAAAGTTGTCAAGGTCATTCTTTCCAATCCTTACTTCAGGCGACACGTGTGTATCTCAGTGACCATACTTATTACAAGTTGAGGTAACGGAGAGGTCAAGGTCTCTTTTTTCAAGCTTATATCTGAAGAACGCAAAGTTTGTGAATGACCATATTCATGTCACTTTGATGTCACGTTTGTGCGAAGGTCATGTGAAGATCACGACAATATCTGTCGAATGGTTTGCCGCAGAGTGGCTTTTAAA